TATTATTATTATTATTATTATTATTATTATTATTATTATTATTATTATTATTTTATAACGAATTATCAGTATATAATTTACGATTACACTTATACAAACAAAAACGATGGCGCTATTACTACTCTTTTAGGTCAATATCAACCAAGTTGCCATTTATCATAGAGTTCAAGCCAATGAGACGCGATATATTATATTTCCAAAACAATACTTTAATTAGACAGTCATGTAAACTTGAGTAAATTCGAGTTCTTTTGTATATATTGTTTGTCTTGTGTATCTCTGGATTAAAAGTGCCTTCGACAAAGACTCAGTGAGAGTCGGAAATAATTACACTAGTTAATCATTACTTACTCGCTGCTAGTGGTCACACACACAACAGATTTTATAAATCAGAGAGAAAGAGAGATGATTTAAAGATAAAGAGTAACTCACTTCACACACACTGACACACGCACACATACACGTACACACACTATACACAATAGATTTTATAAATCGGAGAGCAAGAGATAATGTAAAGATAAAGATTTACTCACTTCCTCTCTACAAGTCTTTGACCAGTGTCTGGGTTTTTAAAGCTATTGATACAATAAGGTTCTGGGCAGACCGTAGCTTGCTCAAATAAGACTTCACACAAATCTTGAGGATTATCTCCGCAAGTTGCACAGGTAACTAAGGTAAACAAGGAAGAAAAAAAACTGTTGATATCTTTTGGACTGGTCAAGATAGATTAATATGGTTGACTGGATATATATATATATATATATATATATATATATATATATATATATATATATATATATATATATATATATATATATATATATATATATATATCATATAATTTTGAATTAATATTTCATCCAAGTTAAACCTAAATTATTTTTCATCAACCCTGATTTTTAAATGGGGAATGGTAAAACTGTTTCAGATTCTTTAGTAATCCAGGGCAATATTTTACTATTCAACATCTCCGGATATTTTAATAAAACAATTCCTGCCTCAGAAATATGAATTCTGCGAAAATGAGCCCAGAAAAGCTACTGATCGTCGACAATTTATGGCGTTCATTATTTTTTTTTAAATTTTATTTAATTATTAGGTATATGGATAAATAGAGTACGGTTCATTTCTAGCTTTCAGACATACGTTGAATATACTCACAGCCAGATTTTGTAGAAGCTGGAAAAGAGTGGCATATCTTCAGTATATTTTCAGTGGATTGATACTGTTTATAATAGTTAACGAACACAGGTTAGAAAATTAATTACAACAATTTAAGTGACCCAAAATACGCAATAATACATGATTTATATAACGGTAAATACGTAAACTACTCAACACAGAACACGAAAGCAGTAGGATACATCGATAAATACGTAGACTACCCAAAATAGAACACGAAAGTCGTACGATGCATTGATAAAGTACCCAACACAGAATATGAAATTGTACGATACATTACGTGAGTCTAGCCAAAAATAGAACACGAAAGTGGTATCATGAATGAATTGACTACCATAAACAGGTCAGCATAAATATGTTTACACAAATGTCATAATGTATACGAAGACTACCTTAAAGAAAGCATGAATTTTGGTGTTACACATTCTTAATACTTGGACCATCCAAAATTATAAGTGTTATGCAACACTGATATGTAGATTATCATAAACAGAAAGTGAAAGTGATATGATACATTGATACGTATATAGGCTCTCTTAAACAGTACATGAAAGTGGGATAATACATTTATAATTACCGTATATAAACGTTTAAAAGATGAGTCCAACTACAAACTGCACAGCCCAAGATCTACCGTTGCATAATGCTCCGCCAAATTTGGGTCTGTGCATTGTGTTAGGTATTGAACTAGCAGCATAGACATGCTCTGCCAAATTTGGGTCTGTGCATTGTGTTAGGTATTGAACTAGCAGCATAGATATGCTCTGTCAAATTTGGGTCAGTGCATTGTGCTAGGTATTGAACTAGCAGCATAGACATGCTCTGCAAAATTTGGGTCTGTGCATTGTGTTGGGTATTGAACTAGCACCATAGATATGATCTGCCAAATTTGGGTCTGTGCATTGTGTTAGGTATTGAACTAGCAGCATAGACATGCTCTGCAAACTTTGGGTCTGTGCATTGTGCTAGGTATTGAACTAGCAGCATAGACATGCTCTGCGGGGGCATTATGCTACGAATATATACGGTATGTAGCTATCACACACAGAAGTGATATCTTAATAAATAAAAATCTAATCTGAACAGGGCATAAAGTATAACGAAACAAAAATTCCGTCAAAGGTTTGAAGCACGGTGAATCCAGAAGCAACCAAAACATGACATCAAATAATGTGCAAATAAATCAGGTGTATATACAGCTTGTTTGAATTATTAGATCCAATATAGTTGCATAAATTAATATTTCCAGGCGCAATATACGATGTCACATACGATAATACGTAGTTTTTCCTAATTTGTTTATACCTAATTGTTCCGAATAAAAGGCACCGACGTCATACAATTTATTCCATTTTCATATTTTACGAAAAGAAAGTAAGGAAGTGGAGTTTCTTCATTTTCACATTTTTTCTAAAACGTTAGAACATAAACCATGAATTGCCATCACAGTATAAATCAAAATACAAATGCAACCTGGGTCTTTCTTGTTTTCTATAAATTCGAGGATAATTTTAGACTGACCTGAATTGAATGGTATCAGAGAATGATTAATTTAATTGATGGATTTATTGATTGATTTATTGACTGATAAGCAATGTAATAAATAATTACCTTCAGAAGGTACTCCACTTGTGGCTGTAGTATAAATTTGAATATGAATTGTGTTATATAAAGTGGAAACAATACTGGATTTGGAGTTCATCAATCGTGGTTATATTTTACGATGTTTAATTCATGATATAAATGTAAAAGAATATTTAAAAATGCAAATACTAAGCAGATATTATTTAATTAATCAGATCCTAACATGACATACGATGTCATAATTTTTCAAAATAGAAGGAAATATTTTTAATACATTAAAATAAGTACCATAAAGCAAACAAAGTCAACAGCGAAAATGGGTTGTAAACATAAGTACTTTTACATTATCAGATATATTATAAAGATCGGAACAAAGTGACATATTCATTTGGAAGTAAAAATTCTTTACAGAACCCAGTCACGGTATGTAGACCATATATTTGGAAATTATCAAATTATCACGAAGACATATACAATATATTCACTATAAAAGAATGATTAGACCTATTTCAGTATATCTCTACCAACTGTTGACGAAATAAAGAAGAAATGCATAAATTGCCTGATACACATATCAAACATATAGATTAATAGACGAAATGATAATTATTAATTGATGTCATAAGGAGTAATTACTATCCATTAGTATCTATCTATCTATCTATCTATCTATCTATCTATCTATCTATCTATCTATCTATCTATCTATCTATCTATCTATCTATCTATCTATATATCTATCTATCTATCTATCTATCTATCTATCTATCTATCTACCTACCTACCTACCTACCTACCTACCTATCTATCTATCTATCTATCTATCTATCTATCTATCTATCTATCTATCTATCTATCTATCTATCTATCTATCTATCTATCTATCTATCTATCTATCTATCTATCTATCTGTCTGTCTGTCTGTCTGTCTGTCTGTGAGAAAGAGAGAGAGGAAGGTTTGTGCTTTATATTGCGGTATGAAAAATATTACCCTTTTTTAAAGAAATATGATTTCAACATAAACATATTTTGTACATAGAGAGAGAGACTTATATGGATAAATATAGATCTTGTGGATGGATATATATATATATATATATATATATATATATATATATATATATATATATATATATATATATATATATATATATATATATATATATATATATATATATATATATATCGGGCTTAAAGTGGGATAACATCCCAGTATATTTGGACAGGATTGTACATTGTTCAGTATTGGAAGACATTACATAAAATGGCAAATTCTATGCGATTGTTTGCCTGCACAATAATCTTAAATCATATAGAATCGTTTACAAACACTCACTAATTACGTATGCAAGAAATGTCCTTATTTAAAACACACCGCTACAACAAAATATTTGATACTTAGGCTAATCGTTTTCTATGCATACGTAAGATTTCCTGAGAGCCAATTTGCTAACCGTTGCATTAAACGAAGCCACAGCCTGGAGACTCATAAATGTCGGTTGAACTTCTTAAGTAAAAATAAGGAAGTAACAGATAAAAATATTGGCAGGTGCATTTGAGGGATACAGCTGTGTAGACATTAATCTCAGTGACCGATGGAGATTTAGTTAGAGAAAGACAGAAAGAGTGATACTAGTGGTACTGAGATTTATTTTTATATGTAAGATGCTCCGAGAATAGTTTAGAAATTATTTGACTAAATCTAATGTCTTGGACACTTCTTTAAGTAACAGCAACAAGAAAAGACGTATGCGTCGATAATAGCACAAGTGTAGGGCGAAGGGTAATGTGTTGATATCTGAACAACAATGATAAAGTAACAAGTAATATTTTTGACAGGTGGATAACAATGGTAAGATAAAGAGCAATGTGATGTATGATGACATTTGGATAAGAAGCGGTAACAAGAATGATATTTCTTTGATAGATGGATAGCAAAGGTAAGATAAAGATTAATGTGTTGATAAGTAGATAACAATAGCGTGTGTTTGCGTGTGTCTATGTGATTTGGGTTTTTAACATAACTTTTAACAATTTTTCAGTTATATAGCTACGATGTCTGTTTTGTGACAGCTTGTAATGATATCTAGCACTATGGCATCAGAGGCAGACATGTAGCACGATGTCCCACCCAGTCATATTATCCTGACACAGGCCGACCGGTTCTAACACTAACCTCTGAATGCTGAGCGCCAAGCCAGGCAGCTGTTAGAACCACTTTTATAAGTCTTTGTTATTAATCAGCCAGGGATCAAACTCACGACCTTCCGCATCCGAGGCGGACACTCTAACCACTAAGCCACCGAAGCGGTCCGATAACAATGGCAAGACAGATGGATACAAATGATAAGGTGGAGAGTAATATGATGGCAGGCTGATAAAAACCAATGTATTGACGGTTGGATAAAATTGATATTATAAAGTGAAACGTTAAGTCAGTTGCATATCAATGGTATAATAATGAGTAATGTGTTGACATGTCCATAACAATGGTAAGAGAAAGAACAAAATGTTGGCAGGGGAATAAACTTGTAAAATAAGATAGACGATATTGTAGCGTAAAAACATAAGTTGAAAATAATGTTTTCGTGTTGCAAGATAGAACAAGATAGGAAGCGTGCTATCTACGATTAGTTATTGTTGCAGTTGCTGATAAAGAAAATAATATATAATATATAATAATATATAAATAACAATGAGATTCAAAATATGAAATTATCTTTTTAAGACATAAGAGTGTACAAAATGGAAGGATCGACATTAAAAAGATACATAAATTGACAACACATTAACAGTCACAGCTACTGGGCTGAGCTATACGTAGTTTGTGGGATAGTAAATTAAGTACACAAATTATTATTCAAACGTAGAAGCAGAAAGTATTGTTACTGATATTATCGGCAAATCATAATATAGACAAAATAATTATTCTTTGATACCATAATGAATAATTACTATCCATTAGCAGCTAAAATATTTTTGTATACAATTATATTAGTTTTCAACTCGACTTGGAACCATTAGCTAATAAAATAAAAAAGTGTGTAACAGTAATAAAGAATCCATACACACTAGCTCTGTAAAACCTATTAATGTATAAACAGCCACAGGTATAACATTTTGGTTTCAATAAGGACAGGGGCATTTTGATATTATTGATTCAAATATCTTCCGAAATTTCAATTACTGAATCAAACTTGGCAATACAAAAAAAGATCAAATTAATAACTTTTTTTACAAATATGCCAATCGCTAAGAATTTTTATGTTCGGATTACTCATTACCTACATTACCTACTGGGAACGTATGGTTAATTTCGTTACGAAAGGTGTTTTCTTAAGCATTCTCAGTATCGTAATGGTAGGACACAATGATAGTTCAGCAGATCTTTAATGCCTTTTCTCATGACATAAATTAATGGATAAGAAGATTGAAAGATAATCATGCTTTAAACGAATAAGATGACGTGCTCTTTAGGTGTTCTTTTCCAAGAAATAAATAACTGTATACATAAAAAGTAAACAAAGAAAATAATACAAAATGGCTACTTTTGTATCATATAGGATTTGAAAGTAGTAAAAATTATGTCTTCCCGGTGAAACCAAGGATATAAAATTAGATACGTTTGAACTGAGAAAGCGATTTAAATGATAATTAGCTGGGAAGATAGCTAATTATCAACTTTCTAGCCAGCTAGTAAGAAATAAAAGAGAGGCTTGCATGCAGATATCGATTTTAAATTCTTAATACCGATTCTGAAACTGTGAGAAAATAATACTATCTTCCCAATTGGGGGTAACTGAGGCAGTTATACTTAAATGCCATTTTAGCCTCATTCGATACCCTATGGGTCCCCGAGCACCAAATACCCGCCCTTAACTTCCATGATAAGCTATCCTCATGCAGCCCTTAGATGTCTGGTTAACTTTCTGACAAGGGGTTCCTAGAGGTGTACACACATACGTGACGCGAGTGTGTCAGTCATAGGGGTTACTGGTTCGTACGGCTCTCCGTTTCCTCACTGGAATTCGAATGAGGACAAACAGCATTTACGAACTACTCTTGTTTGCAGTGACTGTAGAAAGGAAAATACCACACACACACACACACACACACACACACACACACACACACAGTTGATATTGCTGCCACTCAAACAAACATGGTAAAGATCAATAGACATACGAAACCAAACATGTTTATTACATTTACTTATCGTGTCCATAGTAGTGATCAATATACACATGCGACTAAGACTATATTACATGTATTTATTTATTTATTTATTATTGTCCCTATTGCAGTCTCTGTTTTGTAGTGGGCTTTTTTCCAACGGAATATGTACAGACGAAAATATAGCTGAGTCATAAAATATTCTCATGTTAAACAGCGGCTGATAATATACAAATGATAAATGACAGTAAGGCTATCGATTCGCAGAATATAATGAAGGAACTTACAGAAGTTACAAGTTACGAATTTCCCATGCTAGTGACCAAAGTCACACATAAGATATTTGAAAAAGATCAGCCCATGAATTGCTGCTAATGCGTTCACTTATGACAAAGGTTTTAGCTTCTGGTACTCTCTCCCAATAAACAGAACGGTTGAAATCTGATTGGTTTTCTGCTACTGAATGAAAAGAAGCCAACAAGATAAATTTCCAAGAATTTATGGATAAAATGACTTGAATGGCTACTTAAGTGACCCAGTAAGCACGCATACAAACATATTCGTGCATTAGTTAAATGCATGTATTTAACACTTATGAACTACTCATCAGTAAAAGCTTTTAATGCGATGGAATCAGTGAAAATCTACAGCACACAATCATGCCGTTGTTCTGTAGTATTATCAAAATTATTGCAATGTAGCAAAAGATAAAAGTCCTGAATATTGTCTATGTGGATTCTGGATCCCTAGATGTTGCAGTTGAAAGCAGCTCTGGTAACAAAGATACAAATGCTCCTTTTATCGTCCAGACGATGCAAGTTGCAGTACACATTTCACGCCTGTCTTTTATCGTGCTCAGGGCACAATGCAGGCATTTATCAGATCGATTGAAGTAGATTCAGCAACAGATCGATTCACTAGCACGCACGATGTTGACTGGAGATAACGCCCGTGAGTTTTGATGTAGACACTCAATTTTGGATTTGTAAAAAGGCATGTCGGGGGATGAAAGTAAAAGTCCTGAGCCCATAGTTTATGATCACTGCCACATCACTGGTGCTTACATAGGAGCCCTACACAACCCGTATAATTTGTAGAATTTAACAAAACAAAACCATCATTCTGGTTGTGCTTCATAACTTGTGTGGGTACAATGACCATTTTATCATGAACGTAGCAGTCATTGCATCAGACTCATTGATCAGCTTGATCGCAAATGACAAGGAAAATATACATGACCTTTCGGCTGGGAAAATTACAGTTTATCAGTTAGATCCAGTTTATGAACGACCTTCTTCAGAACATTAGCAAACACTCTGACGGCAGAAACTTTAAAATCAGTCCTCGATACTGTCTTTCCAAAATGGTTCTGATCAAGGGAAAAGGCGTGTACGAGCACATGAACGATTGGAGAAAATATTTGCAGAAACTCAGCTATCATCGATCGAAACGTTTTATTTGACATTCACGATTGAGCAAAGTTCCTCCGCCGACGAGTGCAATATAAGAAGGTTAGGACTGCGTTTGAGTGCAAACACCTGGGAAATTATCACGATCTGTGTCTGCGTACCGATGTATTGTTGTTCGCCAAAGTGTTTGAAACTTTTCGTGACATCGCCATGCAGGTGAACGAGCTTGATCCCGCATACTACTTCTCGTCACCAGGCATAGGCTGGGATAAATTGTTGTCCAAAAATTAAAATCGAGCTGGAGTTTGACTAGCATCTGATTCTCACATAATCACTTCGTTGTGGATAATCCATGTCCAAACACAGGTATCGTTCAAACAATCCTAACGTGTCCGAATTTAACCCCGAGTTGCCCAGCATTTATATATATATATATATATATATATATATATATATATATATATATATATATATATATATATATATTGTCACGATACTAATAACCTTTACGTTTGTGGATTCAGTGGATCGATCGTACGCACTGTGATCTCCAAAAGGATGTGCCCAACATCCATTTATCCATGAAGACTTCTTTAAAGTAGACCTGAAATAACCCGGGCATTTACACGAGTTTTACAACTAATACCTGCTGGCCAAAAAGGGCTGTCAATTAAGTGGTTGTCCCCAATTAATACTCCATCGTTTATGGTTTTGTCCACAAATAGCACCGAATGCACCAAACTCCTCTCGAATCTCAGACCCAAAACTATGCACTGCAAGTGCAAAATCTAGTTTTTCAGTAGTATTAGATAGAGAGACCAGTAATTATTTACAAAAGCCAACAAAATGATTATTGGCAAGTTCAAAGCCGAATGTTCGAGGGAATCGAGTATATGTATCTGTTCCCAAATATGTCGTCGACTGTTGTCGGGCCCAAAACATTAAATACATCAAATGTGTCCCACGGTTATTTGTACAGAAAGATCTCAAACACGAACTTACGTTGAATGTCTTCGAGATGGTTGTGAGTTTGCACACACTGCAAATATAATCCGATAAAAAATCATCGTAATGGTGTTTTTGATTGATGCATCGAAGCAAAATTGTCTACGCTGGTTTCAAAGCGTTGGATAATTCCGGATGGAATTACCACTTACACATTCGGCCATCAAGCTGTTTTTGGCCATCACGCTGTTTTGGCTGATAATGTTATAACGTGTCAACACTGACCTTGGCAGCATTTAGTCGTCTACTGCAACGACTTGTAATTTTCTTGCACGAATGGACGGCTAAGAGGTTTTGGTGGACCAGGTGATGATGGTCTCAAACGTCAACGAGTTGGTTGTCTTAGAGTATATATCCGTTCTGCAATGGTAAACACTTTGACTGGCCATACTGGGTCAGTGTCACAGCGTTGTGGCCCACTATCAAAATGTAGGTGCATACCGAACAGGCTGGTCTCCGAGCAGCTGTAATAGTGCCGGCTGTGAAAACGATTTTTGAGTAATTGTGAAAGTAGTTTATGGTTTTCATCGAGTCGTGCATCTGATTCACTGTTCAAGGCTGATATGACGGGAGTGGAAATCGGGTTACTTATTCTGGAGACCGTTCTAGTTTTATCAACAGTTCTTGTGCGTACTGGTTGCTAAGAACCTTTCCGGATGTGTGCGATTAAGTCGTTCGACAAATGTATGATAACGACGTACACCGATATACCCGACACGTAC